GCCATTAGTAGAGGAGACACTAGATCTTTGTATTTGGATACCTTCCATTGTTACTTTTTCTATAGATTTGGATTGAAATTCATACACTGTATAATGTAACATTGAAATACACTTAGTGCCTCCAGAGAAAATATTCCTTTATCTCCATACTGCAATGATTTGGTTTTAGTCACACCAATATCATCAAAATCCCATGTTTTTCAAAAATACAAATTCAAACTGCTAACAAATTACAAACTTAAAATATCAACTATAACTTTACTGAGAGAGACAATTTTCTGAGTCTCCCAGGGTCAGCATCCCGAGTGCACCGACTGTCTAAATATCGCTGAATTTAAATATTGAATAAATCTAAGTTTCTAAATATTCAATATTACTTCCAACTTGATAAGGGTTTTTACTGCGCTATAACTTGTGCTGAAACAATTTTAAATTATCTTTACTTTAAAGATCTTTACACTTTAAAGAAGATGGTTGAGTTTCTGATTGACAATAGCTATGTAGTTTTTGGAGACCAGGTCTTTCAACAATCTATTGAAATTCCCATGGGAACTTATTGCGCTTCGTTATAGGCACATCTATTTTTGTATTCATATGAAGCAGAATTTATGCAAGATCTCATGCGTGAAAAGAAGAAAAAACTTGCTATGGCCTTCAACTCGACCTTCAGATATATCGACGACGAATTGTCAATTAACAATGGTAATTTCCATTCCTACGTCGATACGATATATCTAGGAGAGCTTGAGATAAAAGTTACCACAAACTTTGACACATCTGTTTCATACTTGGATATTTCATTTGAAAAAGACGTTAACTTAATGGTAACCTAACAACCAAGTTATATGATAAACGGGACGACCTTAACTTTTCTATCGTCAACTTCCCTTACTTATGCAGCAATATACCTTCATCACCTGCGTACGGAGTGTATACATCTCATTTGATTCGATACGCAAGAGCATCCTTTACGTATGAACAATTTCTAAAACGAGGTGAATTATTGATATAGAAGTTGATGAAACAAGAATATCATCACTCTCGTTGAAAGTCATCAATTCGTAAGTTCTATGGTCGATACAATGACCTTGTCCGCAAATACAATTTATCATTGAGTCAAATGCTGACCGACATTTTCATACTAATTGTTAGTCCATTATTTATACACTGAATTGACGACAGATTTTCCCGTTATTTCCTGATCATGACAATGAACACACGGCTGGTGTGACAGATCAGCAGAGGATGCTCACTCCTCCATGGCACCTGATCCCACCTCTGATGTTTCAGAGGACCGTGTTTGCTCTAGATCTGCTCTTGTTTTGTATTGTTTTATGGACTTTGAGATTGAATACTATTCGACATCTCCATAGCCTTCTGTTACATATTTACGTATATCAATAATACCTCAGATCAAGGTGCAAGGTGCTGTAAGACAGGTGACACTTCAAACGGTATTCTGACAACCCACACCTGCAATCTTGTCTTTTAACCATGACGCAATGATGCATCATCTACGTCATAGACATTTCGTAAAACTTCAAAAACTATTCTTTAATCAATGTACTTGAACTACTTTATTTATTAACAAAACATCTATAAAAGTCGTTAATTAATCTATGATTCTTAATCTAATCCAGACGTCTTACTTATAAGGTATTTAATAAAAAGTGTACAGGTATGTCGGCGTATGTAGCAACTAATCCAGAGATCCGTATTTTTTTACCATACTGGTTCTACAATTAGTTTTTAGAAGCCATTTCCAGTAAACATTCAACAAAATCACGGTAGTAATTCACAGAAGAATTTCTCTATCTTTACTATATCGTAAGACTTTAGAAACATTATGATAATTCTAAGGACACACTAAGAATTTAAATAGCCAACAGTAAGTCATAAAAATCAGCATAACAACGGACAACCGCCATACAATCATTCTAAGTTCTCTGTAGAGAAATAACTAAGAAATTTATTTTATAAAAGAAAATATAAAGTGACAATGCAGGTACAACACCGGCATCAAGCAGTTGTTTCAAAAAACGTCATTACTGGTTTATTCATTCAAATCTTGATTTAAAGATATGAAAGAAATACGTTGTGATAAACGAATACAAGAAGCCTATGTCAGGCTACATTGCTCACCTGAGCACATTGACTAGGAAAAAAAGCAAAGATCACTTTAGAATTGAGAAGTTTACATGGGGGGGGGGGTGTTGGTATTTTAATCTACCTGATGATGCTTCCATATTAATTTAAAAGGCTTTGCTATTTTATTCAAATAATTTTTTTTACTATTAATTCATTTAAACACCCCCCTCTCCCATTGTGGCCTAGTCCTACCGCTATGGGTCTTCGTTTGATTTGATCCTACCTGAGGAGGCATCCATATCAATTTTTAAACATGATTTTTCTTTTCTTGGGAAAAAAATGCTTGATATTTCAAGGTTAAAATTTGATCCCCAATTGTGGCCCTCCGTACCCACGGTCATGACTTGATCAAATTTTAATGAACACTATGTAAGGATGCTTCCATAAAGACATGACCTTTTTTTTAATCCGATGCATGCATTCCTATGTTGAAATGTAATCGCCCATTGTGTCCCACTTCACCCGGGGGTCATGATTTGAACAAACTTGAATCTACACTACCCGAAGATTTAAAAAAATTCTATATATTCCTATGTAAATCTTTGATCGTCAGTTATGGCACCGCCCTACCCCCGATGGTCATGATTTGAACAAACTTGAATCTACACACATGAGGATGTTTTCACATAAGTTTCATATTTCCTGGCTCAGTGGTTCTTGAGAAGATTTTTAAAGATTTTTTCTGTATATTCCTATGTTAAACTTTGATTGTCATTTGTGGCCCCGCCCTATACCCGAGGGTCAGGATTTGAACAAATTTGAATCTACACTACCTGAGGATGTTTTCATATGTTACATCTTTTCCTAGCCTAGTCACTGTGGTTTTTGAGAAGAAGATTTTTAAAATATGATATAAATTTTCACTTATTAGTATAATCTCCCCATGGAATAGGATGTGGCCCTTCATTTTAACAAACTTGAATTCCCTTTTCCCAAGGGTACTTTGTGTCACGTTTGGTTGAAATTTGCCATTCATCGATCAATTGTCATTCATCGATCTTATAATGACAGAAATCTTTAAAACATTATATAACATCAAGCCCGTTGATGAAAGAAACCTTAGAAACAATATCAATAACATTGTTTAACAACTGTAATAACCGAACAAAGAGCAAAACGTGCCAATTATTTTTGTCATTCATCGATATTCTTTAATTTTCCGTCATTTAACGATCGATGGTTTGGTTTGAACATATTTTATTTAGATGTTTCATCAAAAGGACATTTATCCCGCTTCAGACAAATTTGTAGATTGCTGATTGGATAAAGGCTGATCACATGACGCCCTGAAATTTTCCGTATTACGTCTCCGTCGAGGAGTAATATGAAAATCGGGCACGCTATTCCGTTCGAAGCTTTGTTATTGTAAATAAAAATGGCTGCTAAGAAACGGTTTACGTAGGTAGTTTAGTTAAATTTCTTGTTACCGTAACGATTTTATATGTTGATTGTTATTGGATTAAACTTAATATTTTGATAATATGCGCAAAAATTTTTTTTATATTGAAAAAGGGCCTTCACCTGGATAAATTCGTAACACAGTCAGTTAGTGACCTGATACGGATTCAAAATATGCCCAAATATTTTTTTAATATTGAAAAAGGTCTTCAGCGGGATAAATTCGTTACACAGTCAGTTAGTGACCTAATACGGATTCATACAGGGTGTGAAATGGAAATCCGTATTGGGACTCGGCTTCGCCTCGCCCAATACGGAATTCCATTTCACACCCTGTATGAATCCGTATTAGGTCACTAACTGACTGTGTAACTAATAGTGTCCAATCCTTTTGTTGTAACATCTAAACAATAAAGTATTCAAACCAAACCATCGATCTTAAAATGACGGAAGAAGTAAAGAAGTAAAATAAAGTGGAGTCCTATGTAAAAACAGTGTATAAAACATTGATTGTGGTGTATAAAACAATATGTGAAACATGGGATAAAAGAATAACATGTTTTGTAGTTGGATATGATTTTTATCCAACTCGTTGTGTGTTTTTATCCCCTCGCCAAGGCTCGGGGGTATAAAACACACAACTCTCGTTCGATAAAAATCATATCCAACTACAAAAAGTGCAAGCTCCTATATATCTCTTTATTTAATTGCACCGAGGTGTTTATTTGAAAAAAAGGTGTAAATTGCATATGATTATATATATAGTGATTAATATATATTCATTAAAATATCAAATATAACATTTACATATTAAACATATTTCAATTTAAACTCATGCACAGAAAATTAATCTGTCAATTTTAAATTTTGTTTGATAACAAAATGTGAAAACTTTGCATTAAAAATCAAATTTTGATGATTTTAGATGAAGAAAATAATAATACTAATGTAATGTCATATTGAATTAATCAAATACTTTTCTTTTTTGCTACAGAATTATTTAAGGAATGAAGCTTATTTCAACTTATGTTATCCGATATAACATAACTTGGGGCAGTTTACGCTTTATAAACCACGAAGCGGTTTATAAATAAGCGTAAACTTGCCCAAGTTTTGTTACCCGATCCGATATAACATAACCTGGGGCAGTTTACGCTTTATAAACCGCGAAGCGGTTTAGAAATAAGCGTAAACTTGCCCAAGTTTTGTTACATCGGATAACATAAGTTGAAATAAGCTTCATTTCTTATAATTTAATTTCAATGTAGACAATGAGACAATATTTTCTCTAGAAAAAGGCCTCAAAGTGAGCATTATTTTAAAAGTAACGTCAAGCGCAGTGATACGTTTTTGACTTAACTCATTGTGACGTAGGCAAGTTATGTTATACAAAATGGATAAAACAGTTAAACCAATCAAATGACGCGTTACAACTGAAATTAAATTATAACATTTTATACTCTGTACCGAAACACTCTGACAAGTCCATCATCATATCCGACCCACAGTGTAGACATGTATAGGGATAGTAAGTATGGAGACTTCACTTCATTCTCTGACAGTAAGAACTTTAGGAACTCCCCTTCGGGTCTCAGAAGATGAATCTGTTTGTTCAGTAGATCAGTAACAAGGATGTTACAGAGGGCCTCATTCACTACATCAGTTGGACCAAACTTCTTTGTCAGATTTTGTCCACGGTAGACAGATTTCATACGACCAGAGGGAGACATAATCATTAGATGACCAGTAGTGACACCTGTACTGTTAACAACACAGATATCACTGTTGCTGTTCTGTGTGACTCTGGATGGGAATGTAAAAAGTCTGATCTGGCCGTCCTCCTGGTACTCATACTCTTAAATGACATCACCTGTCACTGTGATGTGTCTTACAAGACGTCTGCTGTGTGGCTCTAATTTGTAAGGATTTGGCTCCTCGTCTCTCAAGGTGACCAGTAGTCCACCGTCCACTGAATGACTGATTCCTGCTGGTTCCAGTGGATCTGTACTGATGACTGTAGAGACAGATCCTGATGGTGACAGACAACTGATGGACTTGTTACAAAAGTCAGTGAAATAAACTTCACCAGTATCAGTCACACACATGCCGAAGGTAGGAGAGTTGATATTAAATCTATGTATTTTGAAACCTCCCATGTTTTTTTTTTATCTTTTCTATATATTTAGACTGATGTTCATTAATGTGACTTTGATCTTCAATAAATGTCTCTAAAGCATATATTACTTTATCTCCATACTAAAATGAGTTCTTTTCAGCCACAACAATATCATCTAAATTCCAAGTTTTTCCAACCAAAGATTCAAGTAAGACATCATTTATTTCCCCTCTAGTGAATCTCACTGAATGTTCACAGTTTGTCGTATGAACCTCCAATTCAGACAGCATTTTTGTCAGTTCCCTGTGTTTGTCAATCAAGTTGTAATCTGACATGGTGCTATTATTTTTCTCCATGTATTCCACTGCATCAATTATTCCATTTCTCCTCTTCTCTAACACAGATTTCACATGGTTCAGTTGATTATCCTTTTTCTCCAAATCGTCTCTAAATATTTTCTCATGACATTTTCTGATATCTTTTAACCTGATCATTATCTCATCAAAATGTCTCTGTAGCTTTTTAATCTCAGATTCACAAAGTTCTTTATTTTTCAGTGATCTGTTTTGACGTCTTTTCTATCTTCTCATCAATCCCAAGCAGATTCTCTTCCTTGATCTTCTTCAGAAATTCAATCAGACCTCTCCTCTTTTCGGTAGCTGCTGTGCGTAGAGTGTTCCAGTCATGATCTCTGATCTGTTTTTGCACACTTAGCACAAATAAATTCTTCACAGTCCTCACATATCATATCAATAGGTATATCATGGGATTCACACATTACAATGTGTTCCTGATGAGAACCCAGTGGATATTTTTTAGCGCTAGCAGCCATGATTATCGGGTATTGTCTACCAGTGCCATAGATTTAAGTGCGCATGTTAGATAACCACAAGAAACATATTGACACATGCATCATAATCGACCGCAAACCAATTGGTTTTTTTTAAGAGGCAACAGTCTGAAACGTGATCTTTTATCAAATTCCGAGGAAATGTGACATTTCAGGAGCGGATTATATTTATCAATAACCAAATTTTCTGCATACATAATTATTATTCTCTATTGAGACCTTGATGGCTACTTTTAATACTTCTACTCCCCTTGAGGGGTATTATTAAAACAAGTCATCAATTTCTCAATAGATAATTATATAATTATAGGTAGCATTTCATGGAACATTCACTTCAATAAAAACACAACAAATATTTGGGACCTCTCTCCCTCCCTACCCCTCTCTCTCAAATCCAAAGGAGAGAGTTGAATCTGCCACAACATCATCTATATCCGCCACTGCATTTCTTCCCGTACAGTTTCTGATGAGATGTGGCGGGAAACTGCTTGGCACATTGTAAAACGCGCCTTATCCACGTATCGCAAAAATCTCGTATTCATATTCTGTCTTTAAAAACTTAAAATTTCAATATATTTTCAATTTAAAAAAATCCATTAGGAAATGTATAGAATACTGTGAAATCACTAATTTTCTTGGGTTTAATTGTCGTTGTTTTTGAGGTTTGGAGGGACCAACGATCTTATGACCACCACGAAATTTCATATGCATAACTACTAAACAATTTCTATCACACAAACCAATATTTTCTCCTCAAACCTCAAAAATTTTACCTCACGAAAATATATGATTTACAGTACAAGTCATTTTAAAACAGATACAATATTTTTTTTTTCATTAGGGAAAGTATTATTGATTATATATAACCCGGGTTTCGCTTTGTTTGCCCGACATGTGTGTCCCAGCTCCGCACTTCAGAGTTGGTCAATCAGGATTTGATCAGATAAAACATTTATTCAATTTTGATTTAATTAATATAATTCAATTATAAAACAATTTGACACTCTTTATTAATATTCTACATGAATGTAAACATTTTTAACTTTGCAGAAACACAAGACTACTTAAAACTGTCATGATATCTATTACCCGGTAATAAGGGTCACTTGCATTCACAGGAATTTAAATATACGATAGATTCATTCAATACGACATCTGTTTATGCAACACCAATACAACTAAAACAAGAGATACCAGTAATCATTCTAAGTAGCATTGATCTTCAGTTAATGTTAAAGAGGTAAAAATATTTTAAAATTAATGGTCAGATCGAAATTTATTTCCAAAAAAATATATATAAATATAGTTCTCAATTTAAGTCATTGTCATCAATTAATAATATGAATAGAAAGAGTATATAAACGATGGATATTCTTCTGGTTAGCTCCCTGCTTTTTTGATCAGGGAATGTTTCTCGGAACAGCATTTCCACAAAATAAATATCGTCCAAAGTCGAAAATGGTATTGGGGTGGATGGGGTTGTTAAGTTCCAACTCTCTTTAGTAGTACCTATTAATTTTACAATTAATACAATTTCCTGCAATATAAAACTGCAATGGGGGCGTAACCTGTCTTTCAATGAGATTTTTAGATTGCAAATAGCAATGTTTGGAATTAAAGTGGCGATTGCGTTGTGGGTCACCCCCATCCCCCCAAAACCTCTACGTGCCTTTATGATGTATATCTAAATAAAATAAAGTCTGGCGAATTCATAACGATGTGAAAAATGAAAAAAAAATTAGGTAAATATAAATTTGAATAAAAATATATTCTTTGATAAATACATTAAAATGTCAATGTAACATGTAATTGAGAAGGGATTCCTGTCTGGTTTCTGACTAGATGAAACATTCAAAATATATTTGTTCCTATGTTATATATTTAGAAGTAAGAAATGTTTGAGATCATATTTTTTCCTCATCAGAATTGTGTAACTTGAAATAGAATGAAGGATATGGAGATAACGAACAGTATTCAATATCAAAGTCCATAAACAGTATAAAATAGGACCAAACACAGACTTCCAAAACATGACAGGTGGGATCAGATGCCATAGAGTAAGCATCCCCTACCGACCGGTCACACCCGCTTGTGATCCTTGTCATGATCGGGAAATAACGGGAAATCCGTCGTCAATTCGGTGTGTAAATAATGGACTTATATTAATATGAAAAACGTCAGTCAGCATTTGAGTTAATGATAAATTGTATTTGCTTAATTAATGCAAAGGAATAATGCACATCACGCATGACTGATAATGGAGCGATCATTTATTTAAGTTGCTCAAAATAAAAGTGTTGTTTAAATTTCAGAAAGCGAAATCAATATAAATCTTTAGAAAGATTAGAGAAACCGACGAGTATGAATGACAAATATAATTTGAAGGATAATTTTGTCGTACACGGCATATACGAGGGTTGATCCAAAAGTAATGTCACAGTGTCCATATCTTTTATATTTGGCGTCATATTTTCGAATACAATATACCACAAATATAAATCTAATTTACATTGAAATTTTAATTTAATAATGTTAATTTGAATTTATTTTACAAATGTTTAAAACATAGAGCATAGGGGGTGTCGCCGCGTCACAACGGAACGTCACGTTTTAAAGTGTATTTTTCCTTAGAGTGAAAAAGACAAACACATTAAAAAGATTCTAAAAAGGCATCTCATCTTCCAAATTTTTTTAAAAAGACACAACTCTCGTCATTTTTTAGTTTTTAATTGAAAATTAAATGACGGCATTGGTATTTTTGATCATAAACATTGTTGTTTTACACTGTTGAATTGAACAAAGGGATTGTCAAAATTGGGAAAAATGGATCCACGAGTTGTAATGCATTTTTGCTTCAAAATACGGGAATCATCACAAGCGACAGTTACAATAATTAATCAGACTTACGGAATAAAGAATGTAAATAAAACACATCTTAATAGATGGTTTCAGCAATTTTGGGAGGGTGAATGTTCACTGAATGATCAGCAGAGGACAAGAAGACCGAAAGATAGAAGATCGGACGAAATAAACGTTGGTATTTGACGTTGTCAAAAAAAAGACAGTCGTATAGAGTGATATGTGAATCTTTAAGTTTGTCTGATGCTACTGTTCAGAAAATTTTGACAGAGGGCTTAATTACGAAAAGAGTGAGTGTATAATGGTACCAAGGATTCTTAAAGAAAGTAGAATCGATGAAAGTGTTTGCAAATCACAAATATCTATAAATGAAACAAAGGGGAAATGCTTAAAAGTATGACGGTGCGTATCCGTCATATGACGTTATATTTAGGTGCGGCGACTACCATAAACGCACATTGTTTAAAATCCGATATTTTGGAAAGTATACATTATATTCATTCAAATTTTTCAGGTCTGATTTGAAATAAATAAAGCTTTCATCATGTATAATTCTGTTGCTTTACGTCGATTGATAGCAATTTTATCAAAGTTGTGACATTACTTTTGGATCAACCCTCGTACATTGCAGGGCAGTGTTAAAAATTGAATTCACATTGCAGTCAAATATATGCCATAATTAAGAGTTACAAACATTCATGTATTCATTGTAAATTGGAATGATTTTTTCTTTCTGTGTCATCAAAGTTTAAGCAAGAATTCAAACTTTGAATTTTAAGGTAAAGAAATGGATGAACAGATAGAAGGACATAAAAAAATTAAGTTTCTATCGAATATGAACAGAAATAATCTAATCTGAGAAATATATTCAAAATAAGAAAACAGATATATAAAATCAAACAGCTCCCGAACTTTTCTCCAGAGCTCACTAACAAATACCAGAATAATGCAAAACCCTTTACAAGTATTAAGACTAATTCTCTGGTATCCCTTTTAGCTAACCTCTATTTTTTATAGCGCATTGTAATTTTGAACATTCTAAAAGTGATTTAGAGAACATGAAATTTTAAAAATAAATTTCTAGCTAAATTGAAGGAAAGAAGAAAGTACAGTTTCTTTAATCATTTAGCGAGAGTGTATTCAGTCATAATAATTATTTTTTAAATATATGTTTCATTTTCATGTGTTGTGTTGTTAATGCTGCTAATAAATTCGATTAATTCTTATTAATCTGATGGGTTTTTTTTTCATCATATTAGGTGTCACTGCTGCATTATACAGAGAGCACTCGCCGGATATCATTGGAGGTTAACTACACAACATTAGGGTGACAGGAAGACATCTCTCTTCTTCAACATAGTTTTGAGCAATTCACAACATACGTAATATTGTCTTATTTTCTCTGTAGAACCCACTGGGATCGCTTCAAGCACACAGTATTTCCGATTGTATCATGTTCAAAGAATATATAATTTTGCTAGATACATGTTAATAGACTTGAATTATTTTGGACAAGTAAAAAAACACAGTGTTACTGTAAAATCATAATGCTGGTTTATGTACCGAAGAAAGCTATGAAACATCGATTTATAAGTAATTTATTTGATGTTTTATATTTAGACACAAAGCGATAAATCATAAATACTTAGTAAACTTAAACACGACAGTATTGTTTTAACCAGAATGTGTGCTCTATCTTAGGAAAATAAAGAAATACACTGTTTCTTTATTTAAGTTCGTACGTTTTGTGTCCCTTCCAACCTCTTTAAATTTGAAAAGAAAATGGATATGAATGTCTGCCAACATCTAAGATAAGAAAATTTGATAAAAAAAATTGATATGAATTTTTATCAATGTTTTATTTGTATATACTGCATAAGTAACTGTAGTGATACATGTATAAAAATACCATACGTGTATTTGAGTTTATTTAATAACAATCTCAGGTGGGGATTCAGAAAAACCAAATAATTACAGAAATCAACTAAATGTATGAAAGATGTATTTTATTCAAAAGAATAAAACGAGGAGTACATCTAAATTAATAAATGCCAAAGTATCAATGAAAAGATCAATTTCGTAGCCCCCAGTAAATAACAGTGCATTCTCAAAAAATATCTTGGGGGATCAGGGGTTAAGTGTTTTTAGTTTCTAATTTTTCTTTCAAATGCTGGAATTTGGGTATATGTCTGACTGCACAGAACATAAAATTGGACGTCCAGGCGGGGTGCAAGAGGCATTAGCATCAAAATTTACATATTATGAAAAATACACCGAAAGTCTATTCTCAGAGAAAAGGGAGGCACCTGCTGCTATTGGCTGTTAGCTTCAGTCTGGTCACGCCGACCCCATTGCATTCCGTTATCAGTTTGAATTCTCATATATTATAAGAAATTCACTTGAATTTCATGTGAATTCTTAGCTTGAGAAGGACAAAATATTTGAAATTTATTTGAAAATTTCAAGCGATTTTGACATAACTTTCATGTGAATTATACAAGAAGAGCACATGGCATAAATATTGTGCAAAGAAAACTTCACATAAAAGTTCTAAAAAAAATATATGAATATCATAAAAAGTTATTCACATGAAATTCACATGATAAAAATATTTTTAGAGCATTCCTCCATGATTTTTACATAATTTTCAAATAAAAAAGATATTGGCATGAATATAACAAAACTTACCAGACATTTTCATTCTTTAAATTAATGCAATATTAAACAGTTTTATGTAGTACATATAAATTAAGGGAATTATAAAATCTAGCTAATGCATGTCATTTAATTATGATATTTTTTTTATTAACAGTAGTAAAAACCTCAGTAAAATGCCATATTTCAGCAAAAAAATGTTTTTCATTGTTTTCCTGCTATAACATGTAAAAGGTTTTAATTAATTCAGTTTCCTTAAAAATATTTTTAATGTATAATTTTTGCTACAGATCGATCTTTCAAAAACAAAATTAAAATTTGGGACAAATTAGTGTTAATCAGAATGTTCTCTCCCTTTGTAAATTACGAAATACATAATATATTTATTTCCATAAAGTGAATTTGTAAAAATATACATGTTTATGATATTATATATATAAAGTTGCTTATCAGTTACTATCATAATACACGACTGGTCCCATTTTTAGAACATCGAATTTTACTTATCGCATAAAAACGTGCTCTTCACAGTTCGTGATTTATATTTTTAAAGAAAAATATAGTTTTGATAAAAAGCGATGCATGTCTAGTTTCAACTTATATTTTAAGCAACCTACATTTACTTGAGGAATTGATAAAGTTAAAAGGGTATCATTTTTGTTCGATTTTCATCCGACTATACGTTATCAAGATATTCTCGACTATCGTCTCCATCATTTAGACGCATGCCTTTCTCATACATATCGAAGCAGTTTGATGATCAAGACTTATTTCCATTGTTTACTTTATTTATTTCCCAGGCGACAATTAATGGTTACATCAATGTTTCTTGTTTTTGTAGTAACCACAAAGGGCATTTCTGTACTTTTCATCGTATATAGAAATGTTTTTATCACATGACAGCTTTTCAGCTGGTAGTTATTCTTTTTGTTTGTTTTGCACTCTCTGTTTAATTTCATTCAACCAGACCCTGGGCTTTCCTCATAAACTCCGAACACAACACATGAAAGCCCAGTAGGTGCATACATGCCAAATGTTTAAGGTCGTTGCTAAAGATGGCTAAGGTTTTTGAAAAAGCTCTACTCGTCTCTATATATTTCATCGATAATATTTGACCCTCTTATACTGAGGTATTTAAAGTTCTCATTATTAACGATATTTACGTCACCCAGTTATAACGTCTGTCCAACAACATTATTGTTGTAGGGTGAAGAACATAAACACGTTCGATTATTATGTTTCAGATGCATTGCTGATCAAACTTTGTCCGATAATCATGACCCTGGGGGTAGGGTGGGGTCACAATAGGCAATCAAAGTTTAACATGGAAATATATAGGGAAAATCTTAAAAACATTCCTCTCAAGAACAGCAAAGCCATGAAAAGTCTTAAATGTATGGAAGCATCGTCAGAGAGTGTATATTCCAGTTTGTTCACTGTTCACTGTTTCTTCACCGTAGTTTATTTTAGTTTGTGCATATATTTCATTTTGAAAATAAATATCTCAAAAGTTGCATTTTGAATATTGATTGTCCAAAGATGGGGCTGCGTGCACATACTGAAAGAAAAAAAATTAAACATAGGCTTATCATGTTTATCGGAGCACGACAAAATGTTTGGAAGAAGAATTGGAAAAAATGTTTCTTTCTCTTTAAGTTTACCACACTGAAGAACACAAACTTTTTGTTGACTGGACTACTATTCTAAGAAAATGAATATAATGTTATACGAAAAAGCATAAAATCAACATAACGGATGTTGCTTCTCTAAACAAGATTTGAGAAAGTGGAAATCTTAAGGAAACGTGTTGTTCTCTGTAGCAAAAGTTTCCATAAATGTTTGTCTTATAAATAAAAGCGCCGTAAACCCTGTTTCATGAGTCTAGAGTATTCATTTCACATCCTGAACTTACTTTTGCAAACCTTTTTTTTTAAAAAAAAAAAAAAACCCAACAAAACAAAATTCACATATGTTTGTGAGGTTTTCACTTCTTATTTTTGTCGGATAAGCTGACAAATTAAAAAACTTAATATTACACATGTTTTTTTCGTGTGTTTAAAAAGAAAGCAAGATACAAACAAAAATAATAGATTACTAAATATGCGCAGTTAGAAAGAAAAAGTTATATTCGATATTTTTTTCTCGGGAAACTTAAGATAGTTTGCACTAATTATGCAATACTTGTACATCGCATTTACAGTGCAAATCCTACATGCAGCTACAAATAACACGTCATTGTCGAAACTAAAAAAAATGAATTCGGATATCGTACAATGAGAATTCGCTATTTACTATTTTCTACAACAAAGTCTTTGTGATAATTGTTCCCTAAATGTCTTGTGAAAGAAGGCATAAATGACAGGATTAACAACATTGTAAATGAAATACATGTAAATGACGATGATATTTAATGGAAGGACCCTTAAGGCCACTAACCATGAAGGAAGAAAAGCAACAATAAACACCAAAGCCACGATAGACAGCAAAAAGGCCGTTTTAATGTTTGCAATACGCGTTTTCTCAAGTTTGGCTTTTGACACGCTTCCTGGTTCTAAAATGACGTCCCTGATGCTAATCTGTGTATTTCCGTTCTTTTGCACAGTCTTATTACATTTTTCTTCTACTTTGTGATCGTCCTGCGCATTTTTCACGTCTCTGTTGTTTAGAACAGTGATCTCAGTCTGTTCTGTGAAGCACTGAGAGCTCCATATTCCACAGCAGTTGCCGGACAAAAACATTCCAATATTTCTTCGACGAGCTAAAACGGATCTGTATATCAAACTGTACAAAATGATGATAATAAGGGCGCAAATTCCAAACAACGACGAGTATATTTTCTGATAAATGTAAAGGAATTCCGTGTCTTGAGCCAAACAGACATAATCATGATGTGAAATGTAAGATATTGATGAATTTGGCAATAAGGTGATATTTTGGTAAACTGCGGTTGGTACGGGAACTGGTGTTATTCTGTATTGAGAGCAACATGTAATCCCAAGAAGTGCAGCAAACGCACAGAGACTCCCAACAGTGATTTTCGCTCGTCGTATTGTCATTGCATGTTTGAAAGGGTACACAATGCATAAATATCTATCCATCGCTATTGCTACCATGACAAATGCCGAAAACGGAACAGTTGTCGTAATAAGAAAAATATAAATCTGACATATTATGTCATATTTCAGTTGAAATTTGGCGGCTTCTGTAGCGATGGTAGAGGGAATTGTAACACAACACGTGACGAAATCGACACCGGCCAGGGTAAGGATAAAAATGGTTGAGGTAAGCTTTTTCTTGTAACGGGGGAAGACGTACAAAACGAGGGCGTTACCGATCGTTCCCACCACCGAGAATATGGACATGTAGCCAATAGCAATGTACACCTGCATCTCTAGCTCCGCACTCTCCATCTTGTTCTTTAATAAGATACAAGAGGTATAACTACAAAAGGTATTATTGCAACATAGCCAGTGTTTTCATTGAATGTTTAAATGTAAAAATATCATAAGTATTGACGAATATCAGAACTTTCAAAATCAGAGAAATAGGAGCAGTTATTTGGGAAATGTTAAAGAAAAAATGAAGATTAAATCGAGAATAGCGATAGAATATTCTCCTATAGAAATTTAGATTATTGTATTGGTAGTTTTAATTGAAATCAAAAATGGCAATAGATAGAACTTATTTTTAGCATTTATCTTAACATTTATCAATAAAGAACGAAATTAATAAATCCAAAAAAAGTTACAGACAAACCCAATGATGGATTATTTTTTCTAAAGAGGGTAATTAAAAAGACCATAGAATTTCTTTTTTGAATTGCTTTGAAACTTGTAATTACATAAGATTTGTCGGTAGTCTACGTTTCTATTTTTCTGTTTTTCCCAATCATGACAAGATGCACACGGCGGGTGTGACCGGTCGGCAGCCCTGGGATGCTCACTCCTCAAAGGCACCTGATCCCACCTCTGATGTTTTAGATGTTCTTGGTTGCTCTGCTCCTGTTTTGTATCGTATTTTGGACTTTTGATCTTAAATACTGTTCGTTATCTCCATATGTTTGAATTGAAAATATGAAATGGGGGGAATAAATCTTGGCTTTTAAAAAATCATGCTCTGATGGCTGTCTGAATAAAAACAAATTATTAATAATTAATTGATTAACTACCTACAGTATTTCAAGGATCAAAAGATATTGTCATAATCTCAAGTCAATTGATATTTCTACATTTTTTTAAAAAAAAAATTGATCATATTACATACAAAACAGTTACATTCATACGACTCTTCCAGAAACATTATTTTGCCGGCTCATAGTGTTTAATAATTTGTTTTTGGCGTTATAATAAAATTGGCACGTGTTATCTGATAATATCATTCCGGAAGTACGGTTAATACTGTGATTTCTCTGAAGAAAAGTCCTACGAGAAGAAAGGTTTGAGAAATTTTAAATTTAAAAGATTGAAGGGTACATTATAGATATAAAGAAAATCAGTATGACCGATTTTGATTCAGTTATTGTAGTTTTGAGTATACTAAGGTATCTGCTAATAAAGAAATTAGATATACATTGAATTAGTAACAAAATTCAGAAAACGACACCATTCACACAAACGAGTAAAATGATTGCTTATCAAAAATAAATTTTAATACACAAACTTCGTCAAAGATCCGAAGTTTATAAAAATATCTCAATGGAACATATACATGTACATGTATCCATAACATGTTTGCAATTGTATAATTACATTTATATATCAAAAAGATTTCATTTACCTTAATTTTTCTTCCCAACGGAAAATGTGCTACTTCAAAAGGAAAATCAGATTATCAGTGTTGCTGAATTGGTTTCCTCGTTCTGTTATACGTATTCCAGTTCCATTTCTCAGAAAAGATATGCCACGGTTAGATATAAGTTTGCCTTGTTTCGACTTCTTGTTGTACGTCTTGTTTTTCCCTGAATTATAAAATGAGGCCTTTTGCTTTGATTTTTTAAACTGCATTTATATATGCAATACAAAAATAGACCCATGAGCATACATGTTGGGAATGATGTGATTCATTTTTTTTAATGAGTTATGTCAGTTGAAATGCATTAAATAAGCATTTAAATGACCAAAACTAAGTCGTACGTACGAGATACTAAGTCCATCAAATGTACAAGATAATAAGCCGTACGTAGATAACAATAAGTCGCACGTAAGACAAAGTAAGTCATATGTATAAGATAGTAAGTCGTACGTCGAGATACTAGGCCGTACGTACGAAATGCTATTTCGCACGTACGAAGTCGTACGTGCGATATAAAGTACCGACCAGACCCAACCTGACGCAAGGCAGTCCCAGAAAGAAGTGCCAGCAGTCCCATTTTATGGGCGGAGCTAACTCAGAAAAACAATGGAACTATAAAAGGCAGCTGAAATTTATTCTGAGTAGTAGTTCAGGAATCCTAAGTATGCGAAGGTCATTTACATTTATGACCAGTACGTGCATAGAAACAATTTGAAATAATATTTACTGAAGAAAGAAAGCTTTCACACTGACATAAATGAAATACACTAAACATGAATATTTAATCACAATTATCTGGTATATCAATTCAATTTTTTCTGTGATTGATACTGGTTACCATAGTTATTTTTTATACAGAAAATTAAACTTGAATTGATTATTTTTCACCAGAATTAGCCTTAAATAGATCTTAATTATCATTGTAGGGTAAGGCCAATTTCCATTCTATCGGAATACTCTAAAGGCATTTTCTTAATAATCTTTGAAAAATTATTTTTTAATTTTGCCAAGTATTATTTTTCAGTCATGATTACTTTTACTGACAAGTCAATATAATTATTAATAGTTTCTCTAGCTCTTCAATACTCAGTTTTATGTGTTTTATTTGTAAATTTATGAAACCCTCAGATTATGTTAAAATTAATTAATCCTGGAAAAAATTTATACACATTTCATTTATATATATATATATTTGCATTACATAGATTTAAATTAGGGTCATTGTTGAGCAGCATATTCAATGATATATAACATTGATATGTGTACCCAAACGCATGCATGGTTGATTTTCTGCCCATAGGCGATTGAAATCGCACGTGTTGATACCATTTTATTTATACACATGATCAGCCAGGTGTACTTATTGTTTACACATGTAAAGAAAAACAAAGAAAAAGAAATAAATCACAATTCCCAGTATTTTCCAACTGTTTATTTTTTAAATAAATGTACTCTTTAAATAACTTGTTTATGAATTAAAAACTAATTGATCTATAAATTCCCCAATAATTGGTTACATTGTTTATGTTACGGAAAAGTGATGGCAGAATTTTATATCATGTCCATAAAATCAATTGTTAGGTTTTATTTGAGAGATTCATGGAACACTTTTTTTTAGCATAATACTTGTTAAGCATGTAGATTTTTCAATTTAAAAACATCTCTTATCTAAATATGACTCTTTATTTTTGATAGTGCCATTGCAAATTTGAGTATTTAATTTTACATTAAATTATAAAATAGGCCTACATTAAGATATTTTTTCTCATGAACATGTAGTTTATTTTAGGGAAAAAATCGCTCCTGACTTCCCTATCTAACAGTTTTATTTTTAAAATCTAAACTACATTTGTGTAAATATACAGTCCCTGAAAATATCAAATAACACAAATCATTTAATTTCCAATTAAATACTAGATAACAAGAGTCTTTTAAATGTGTTTGTATATTTCATTCTTAGAAAAAAATCACTTTAAAATGTGATGTTCATGTAATCTCTAGTTACTAAAAGATTGTAAGAACTCTTTGCTGTTTTAGTAATAGTTTAAACTCCTCTCTGCTGCAAGTTAACAAAACAACAGGGAGTCAGATAATTCAGAATACACAAGGGGCGGAGCTATCGTGTCACTCAGAACCTCTTTCACACATGAGTGAACAAAGCAGTCCCAGGGACAGCTGGGACTGCTGGGTAAATATAACTCATAAATTGTTTGGACGATTCATATAAAATATACGATGAAATTTCATAGAACTAACAGAATGGGACTAAAATTGCAAATTGTTCGGTATAATATTGTAATACCACAGGGGTGAAATAACGGGATTTTTGGATGACAAATGCTTATATAATTTTTCTTTCTCTGTTACGATTAGGTAGAAAAAAAATGTAATCTTCAAGGTTGCGCCGCCTTCACAAACCATTGCTTTAAAATAATTCAACAATTTATTTAAAAAGATAATTAATGATGTATAGTGTATTACATGAATAAAAAAGATGAAGCTTATTAAATGTTAAAAAAAAATCATTGATGTATCTTAAGTGGTTTAAATTTTATGGCGCTAGTCCACGAACTTTTTGAACAACCCTCGTACATATAGAACATATTTCAATTGAACATATCCACAGTTAACAAATCTGTGAATTACAAATTTTGGTTGCATGATAACAAAATAAGAAAACTTTGTATATAAATGTATCTACAAAAACGAATTTTGATGATTTTTATGAATTATAATTTCATTATGCTATTCTAGTGTCATATTAATGAATCAAATTAATATTTTTGATATTGTTGCATTCTACACTTTGAATTGATACACTTTAACAAGTCCTTCCAAGTATCCTATCCACAGAGTAGACTCGTATAGAGAAAGTGAGTATGGAGAGTTCACTTCATTCTCTGTCAGTAAGAATTTTAAAAACTCACAGTCAAAGCTCAGCAGATGGATCTGTTTGTTTAATAAGTCGGTAACAAGGATGTTACAGAGAGAGTCACACACTATATCAACTGGACAAAATTTCTCTGTCAGGTTCTGCCCACGGTATATCAATTTCACACGACCAAAGGGAGACATAATAACCAGATCACCTGTAGTCAGACTTGTACTGTTCACAACACAGATATCAAAGTCACTATTCTGTATGACTCTAACTGGATATGTAAACAGTCTGGTGTGACCGTCCTCCTGGTACTCATACTCATGAATGACGTCACCTGTCACTGTGATGTGTCTCACCACACGTCTACTGTGTGACTGTAATTTGAAAGGATCTGCTTCCTTGCTACTTAAGGTGACCAGTAGTCCACCGCCCACAGACTGACAGATTCCTCCTGGTTCCAGTGGATCTGTACTGACGACTGTAGACACAGATCCTGATGGTGACAGACAGCTGATTGACTTGTTACAATAGTCAGTGAAATAAACATCACCGTAATCAGTCACACACATGTCATAAGTAGGCGAGTTGACACTAAATCTATGTTTTTTGGTACCTTCCATGTTTACTTTTTCTATAATTTTAGACTGATGTTCACAAATGTAGCATTGATTTTTAGTGAAAGTCTCCAAAGCAGATATTGCTTTATCACCATATTGAAATGATTTTTTATGAGTCACATCAATATTATCTATATCCCAAGTTTTTCCTAACAAAGACTCAAGTAAGCCAACATTGATTTCACCTCTACTGAACCTCACTGAATGTTTACAGTTTTTTGTATGAAACTCCAATTCAGACAGCATTTTTGTCAGTTCTCTGTAGTTATCAATGAAACTGTAATCTGACATGGTGCTGTTGTTTTCCTCCATGAATTCCACTCTGTCAACAATGCCTCTCTTCTTCTTCTCTAATTCATATTTCATACAATTTAGTTGATCATTCTTTTTAACCAAATTGCCTCTCAGTGTTTTTCCGTGGCATTTTCTGATTTCGAATAGCCTGTTCAGTGTCTCATCGTAATGTTTTTGAAGCTTTTTAATCTCAGTTTCACACAGTTCTTTATTTTCTATGATCTGTTGTGGAATCTTTTCTATCTTCTCATCAATCACAGGGAGATCCTCTTCCTTGATCTTTTTAAGAAATTTAAGTAGACCTCTCCTCCTTTGGTTGGCTGCCGTGGGTATAGTGCTCCATTCGTGATCTGTGTGGTCTGTCTTGGCACATTTACCACAAATAAATTCATCACAGTCCTCACATATAACATCAATAGGTAAATCATGGGATTACATATCACAATGTGCTCTTGAGGAGAGCCTAATTGATACTTTTTTGAACTAGCAGCCATGTTTTTCAGGTGTTGTCTATCAGTGGGCTTGGGATAAAAAAAATACTGAGTGGATTGGGGTGGAGTAAAGTGGACTGATATGGAGTTGGAATTTAAAAACAGTTTCCTTACGATAGATCTCTCTTGCAACATCATTTTTTTTAAAAATGAAACAGGAAATAAAGTTAATGCAGACAAAAAGCTAATGGACTTTAAAAGTCACACACGGGGTCATTTTTTTCATATACCGGCAATTGATAAAGACTATAAGTAATATGACTCTGTGCTCCTATCCCAAACAAACAAACAGTAGAAAGAGGTGTTGACAGTTTTTATATCTAAAATAAAAGTAGAAAAAACAAATACACTAGGGATTTAATTATCATAGTACCAAATTATTTTTAATATCAGGCTTTTTCCTACGGTTTTTAGGTTTTAGGCCTTAAATAAAAATTGATATAGAAGCATTCTCAGGTACTGTAAATTCTTATTCTTGCTATGTTGGATATATATAGGTTTTAGGTCAACTAGTATTATATAACAATAATGACTTTCAAGGCGTAATTCTGCTGTATGCGTCAATTTAGTTTCCAGGCGTCAATCATTTTTTCAGGAGTAGCTCATTTGCATTTTTCAACTCAAAGTCCTCCTCAATTCCGCTTGGCTTCTTCTTGGTTAACACTCAGAACCTACGTTTCACCCTATATGCATTGAGACAAACTGACGCCCGAAATCCATCTCCAAGAGTGCCTCTATTGACAGTGTATATTCCAGGCGGAACATTTTATACAGCATTTCTAATTTATTTCTAAAACATAACATACATAATAAATGGAAATTGAAAATAATTATGTACCTTTATATCTCAGTTTATGTGACCATTTCAGCATTGCATTTGTTGACGTTAAAGCTATGAACACTTCTATACTAGGTTTGTCTGTTTTGGATAGGAGTACAGGGTCATATATCAATGTTTAGTTTTTAATCTTTTTTCCAGTCTTGGTTAAACACATTTCTATGTGATTCTCTGTGTAATATTTGAAGACTATTAGATTTTGGCTTTCATGGATTTCTTCCTTTATATTTATTCCTTGCTTCATTCACTATATACACATCCAAAAGAATATTGCATGAGGGATTGTATTCACACAAACATTCCGTACAATACAGACTCCACTCCATGACTCTTCATTACCACTCCACTCCACGCAGCTTTTTACCCAAAGCCCTACCAGTGCTCTAGATTTAAGTTTGCATATTAGATAATCATGGATCTTTACAGATTCTGAGTGCAAAAATTTGTAAATACGCTGAAATAGACTGAAAAGTTAAAATACACAGATACATGCATAATGATCTCTCAAAATGAAGGACACCTATATATTTTCTATAAATCTATTTGTCAAACAGAACCGCATGTTTATTTTGTTGATTACTTCAAATATTTCAAAACAAGAAGGTTCAGCATTAGCACAGCTTGTTCTTCCTATTTATAGAAACACATTATATACAAATACATGCGCTTTCTGTTCAAGCTCCTCTGTCGAAGTTGGAAAACACTTCTTATAATTAAATTATACTGCCAAATTTATAATGAATAAGAAGAAAAATTTTGTAGAGTATTTAATGAATACAAAATAATCATGATCATTACTGATATTTGTTTAAAGTATTAATCAAATTTACCAGATAAAATTAGTACATAAATTTGTATATACAACCTTTAAACACAAAAAAATCTTCTTTATGTGTAAAATATGTTAATAAAAATATTTAATTAAAAAAATGTTCAATGGGCTGGTTGCAGTTTTATTTTAGTGTTTATTTAGTTCATAGTTCATAGTGCAAAGTGTTTATTACAATGTATGCAATGCAATATATATTTCATTATTATCAACGATTTCTCATTTACAATAAGGATTTAATTTAATTAAAGACAGACTTTCAATTTATTCAATATTACACCTATTTATGAAATGAAATGTAAACAGGTGTGTGCTACGACTAAATAGAAAATAGAATATTTTGATTAAGAATTAATTTATAATAGCATGTTAACATAAAGGTCAAGATAGGGTAAGCCCCACTTTTGACTCTCGATTTTGTGTGTTCTTTAGAATAATGATATAGAACAATTTATCATTTAAAACCTGTTGCCATCCCTGCCACAAGTTGAGCATAATGGTTTTAAGTTTTGGAATACACATGCAGATGTCACAGAGAGGTAAGAAAACATGACAATTTTCGAATTTCCTTATTTCTATGAAAATTTATTTTGCTATTACAGCACATTTTGTTTCCGAAAATATAAATCTCAAGTTTGCCTATGTACCAAATTTGTAATATTTCGTAAACAAGTATTAGATGCAGTTTATGTGTGAAACTCACGGATGTGTCACCTGTCACTGTGATGTGTCACACCAGTCGTCTGCTGTATGACATGAACATGCTCCGGGGTCATAAAAATTAGAAAACCTCACTTTTGATCTCAATTCTCATTTCCACTTAATGTTCCTTTTGTAGATGTGAGCCTGATATCAAAGGTGAACTTACTACGAATTACTGAAATTTATGTAATGGATTTAATGGAAATTTATGGAACCTGATATCTTGTATGTCAAGGTGACCAGCAGTTCTCCATCCATTGACTGACAGAAGTGAAACTTTACTGATTGCTGTTGAATGTTTAACTAAAATAATTAATGCGTTTTTGAAAAGAACATGAATAATGTCCATTAAATTATTACAATGCTTCTAGATGTAGCTTTTTAATCTCTGAGTCACATATTGCTGTATTTTCTGTGATATTATAATATTTTTTATACAGTGATATTTATGAAGACTTTAAATGGCTTCCGTAGGAGGAGTGTGCAAATTATAAGGTCTTTTTTGTACATTTAGCATGTTAAGTACAAATGAAAACAGCAAAGTTGTAATTCTATTTATTTATTTGGTTGACGGAATACTCTGCTGTAAAATTAAGTGCAAAAACTATGACCTAGAAAGCTGAAAAATTGTTTGTGAATGTTATCAGAAAATAAAAAATTATAATAAAGACAAATCTAATGTAAAGTTACATAACACCTTTTTGTCTTTACAAATCAATTTGTATATTTGGACAAGCAGTAGATAAATCCAAATTCTTTAAGGACAGATGATACAAACAAATTTTTTCTTTGAAAAAGATATAATATCATGTCACAAGTTTAGAAATGTGGAGTTCTTTTTTTTTCCTAATCTGAAAATATTAGCAATAAAAATAAATCACATCATAAAGGTTTACAGGTGAAAATAAATTTCAGAATATGTTATCCTGGCGTTAAAAGTGTAATATACACACACCAAAAAAATGGCAATATCACATAGGCTGATTTTAACCATTTAGCTTTTCCTAATAAAATTCACCTGATTCACCTAATTTTCAAAGAAAACATTTGTTTGTATCATCTGTCCTTAAATCTCACCTTTGCTGGCTGGAGATAAACATGGCGATTAATGTTCTAGGTTTGGTGGTACTACTTGTGTTTTACCTTATCATTATTATTGTGGGGATTCTGGCCGGGAAATTAAAGAAGAAACCAGATGGGGTGTCCAGAATGGAGGAGGCAGTCGTGGCGGGGAGGGACATTAATGTTATCGTCGGAATATTTACTATGACAGGTAACTCTGCACAATATTGCATTGACAATTGTTCCTGTCAACGATACATTCATAATAATTTCCAAATGTAGGTTTCTTTATTTTAACTGTAGAGATTAGTTAACGCTTAAAATAAACAAATGAATACCTTGGTAGCTATACCTAATTTCATTATATGCATAAATATAAGGAACAACACTTCCTACAGTTAGATTGAGGGAAAACATCAAATGTGATCATTACAGGTAGAAATATGCATGCCTGTTTAAACAAGTCTTACGTATATTTACTTGTCTATGTGGTCAAATTGAATGTGCTTGCAAAAATATTTCTACTGCACCTGAGACGGTGAATGAAAACTATTTATTAAGGAGAAAAAGGCATGCTATATTTCGCCGGGGTTTAATTTTTATACTTTAAAAATATCAAGATATCCACAAGTTTACATCTTTTTTTATTCAAAATATATTTTGAATTTTTATATTAAATATTACTGCAAACTGCTTAAAATTCTACCACGATATCAAATCCTCTCAAGTCAGTACTTATATTTTCTTCCGAAGCATTGACCCACATAATGTGATTTTGCAATATTTACTAACACTTCTGCCTACCAATAAAATACTTTATTTTTCGCACGATTTAAAAAATACTAGTTTCAAAGCTATATCAAAGATATTATTGGCAATAGAAAAATAGATAGGCATGTAATTTATTCCGAAAGAGAATATTCACGTTTTCATTGCTGCTCTACCTATATCTGATTTATTTCTAACTAGTATTAATTTACAGATTGCACAAATTTAACGTATTTTATTTGTTTACTTTTCATAATGCCTCTTATATCAATATATAATAAATATGGTTTTAATGTAATAGTAAAGGTAAATCTTTTTATATATATCAATTTTGTGGTGAAAAAAAATGTATTAAATATGATAAGTATTTTGAAATGAATTTTCTAATCATTAGAAATAATGTTTGATTTCCTCTTCTGTATGAATTGCACATATGTACGTGTATGTTTCATCTCTAAATGTAACGACAAGATAACTAATTTAACACTTTGTATTGTTAGCAACAATAGTGGGAGGAGGATTCATAAACGGGACAGCCGAATCTATTGCATTCTCCGGTATGGTGTGGACATTGGCGCCATTTGGAATTTTTATTGGATTAATCACTGGTAAAATATTTTTTTTCCTTATTCAATTGTCTCTATTTTTCAAGAAAAAGACAACTTTCCTTGCTTTTACGAGGGTCGTTCAATAAATAATGCAACATGTCATCTACAAATATGAAAAAGTACATAATACATATTCTTAATAGGTTCAATCATTCTAGACATTCCATCTTGCCCTTTACACATGTATTATGTCTTTGTATCCATGCAAAGTACACCTCAGCATACACATCTTTAGGGATGCCCCAAAGGCACTGACGAGTATCACTTTCCATGACATATCTAGCATTGTACCATCTTCCTTTGATTGTTTTCATGTGTTTTGGGAATAAGAAGTTCTCACATTGTCTTAGATCTATCTAATATGACCGAAGGGAAAATTCTGTTCGCTTTATTTTCTTCCAAAACTTTATTTCTTTAAGGATATGTGCAATTGCATTCTTATGCAGGCACAGGAAAAATACCTTAGTTAACGTAAGTTGCACAACCCTTGCAAGAAATCTGCTTTACTTTACTTGGTCAAATTCGAACACAAAAGTTAATATTGCTAGTCCTTCAATACGTTGTATTTCCATTAGTGAACTCTTCAGATTTAGAGACGCGTTTGGTCGTCTGACTGGGACAGCATGGCGTTGCGGATAATACAAAATATGCCAGTCTCAATTCAATTTTAAATGTTTAGTGCATTTGTCATTCTAACCAAAGAATAGAAGAACTAAAAGACATATGAAAGAGAGCAAAAACCCTAACTTTATCGTCCATTAATAAAAAAAATACGACATTTCCGAGGTAAGTGTATTGTCTTCAAATGTACCATTACGATAAATAGATACATACCATCACCAATAGATGTAAATTAATTTCCTTGTCATCTCTACTCTTGATTTAAATAAAGTCCAAAACAATAAAATATTTCATAATATGCATTTTATTAGTATTTGTTCATCTACATTCAACATGTTGTTTACATGTTTATGTTACGTTTGTCCCAGAAATCCCGCGAGATTTGTACATTCTCCGACTTTTCCACAAAAGAGCGCACTAAGAACTATAACTCTTCAACAGTGGAAATAGAACGTATTGGATATATGTACTTGTTCTAATGGATCTCTCTAAATACATGAAAGCTTATAAAACATATTTGGCGCAGTTGCTTCTATTTATCATAATATAATGTCACCTTTTCTTTGATTCCACATTTTTTAAGAATTATTAATCTTATCTTTCGGCTGTAAAAAAGTGCACCTATATTTTGTCATTTATCAAGGAAGTTTATATCATGCATATATTCTATTCATATTTTTTTTTCAAACAGACCGTTGTTACATTCACCGCATATTCTCTCTAAAGCATTTGAAAGAAAATAAGGCACATATCTGAAAGAAATCTTGTTAATTTTTTTCATTGTCAAAATTCTACAAAATACTGTGATGTTTTAATGTTAAGTATTTTAACGATGTGTTTCCTTGTAAATTAAGCATTTTCAGAAACCATCTGGCACATAGCATCGATATCATCATTTAATGGTGTCCCCCAACATTTCAATCGGCCAGATTGATTGTAATATTTAAGCTCTTCTTTTTTTTCCTTCGGAGTTATAGTACTATTCATCTGAAAAGTATACAGCATTAAAGATAATTTTTTTTCTACATATAAATTCATATCTTAAGTATGAGTTCTTCGTCGATTTATTTAAAAAGTACTGTTTTCACATAGACTGTTATTTCATTTTCTTGGCAGATTTAATTTATAAACAGTTTTCCGCGCAGTGTAGTGACCATGCTTACTTGAAAAGTGAAACTTCTTTGCGAAGACAATGGGACAATTCATGGGGTTTTCTGTCTTAAGGACCTCTTTAGTAAAAAAATTAAATGCCTCAACATTTATTATGACATACCGTATGTTGCATTACTTATTGAATGACTCTCGTACAATAAGGTAGATTTTATGGCCTCTCCAACCGTATCAACGTATTTGACAGGCTAGATTCCTATTAAATGGGAACAGAAACTAATTTTTCCTTTGTAGAAATCTTTTTAAGTATTTCTGTGTTAGCAAATTTCTTTGTAAAAGATCAAACCCAAAGAACCAGATTTCTAGAATACTATTTCTTCATTAGAAGGGACGTGTAGAGATGAAATCATTAAGTAGACGCATTTAGTTACTTTTTTATAATAAAGTATAATTTTTTGTGAAAACCATTTACTGGAGGTATTGTATTTGCTCGTCCAATGAGAGAACGGCGATTTCTGACCATGTTGGACCCAATCCAAGAGAAATCGGGGGATGTTATTGTGGTTCTTGTTTATATAGCCACCCTCTGTGGAGATGTTTTCTGGACAGCCTCTATTCTTGTAGCGTTAGGTGAGTTACATGTATATTCACTCAAAGACCATTGTGATATGTTTCATTTGTGATAACCCAAGCTCACATTCCTCATACATATTCTCTTATTCTTCATACACTGAATACACACCCTCACACTGTGACATTCTCTCACACAAACGAAAGAAAGAGAGACAGATCTATATATTAACATTTGTTGACAGGAACAAGTCTCAGTGTAATTGTGGACCTACCTCTAAGTATCGCCATATTGAGTTCTTCTGCTGCTACCGTCTGTTACACCATGTTTGGTCAAATGGTCTCTGTCGCGTACACGGACATTGTTCAACTCATCTTCATTATAACTGTATTATATGTATTTATTAAGACATTTTGACGAATTTTTCGAAATATATGATGCAAGTCTAATCCCACACTTATCAACTTTTTGAATAAGACAAGTTATTTGAAGTAAAAATTAATTTTTTTGTAGGCTTTAAGTCTACCTTTTATCCTGACCAACGACAAAGTAGGGAGCATTTCTGATACTGCAGATATATGGATTGGACAGTTTGATGTCGGAATGACAAGTCCTTGGATTGACCTTTTCATTGCAATGGTAATGGTTTAAATTTAACTATACAAGAAAAGACTTATTTGAGGAGTCAATTCATTACCCTTTTTGAATGAAATACAGGGATTATCCAGGGTTTTATGTGACTTATTTAAAATATTACAAGCTGAAGAAATCGAACAGTGACCGATCAGGAAAAATATTATCATCAAACAATTCAATTATGTAAAGAGAGTATAAAACCCAGACCCTTGGAAATTCAAGAGGTGAGATCAGGTGTCTTAGAAGAGTGACCATCCCCTCCTGACTGGACAAACCCACTGTAAGCTCTATTTAGTGATCAGATAGGTCTTGAATAGTGAATAATTTGGGATATATTAACACCTTAAAGCAAATAATAAGCATGAAAATCACTACATAAATAAGGGAAATTGATGAAAAAGCTTAAATTTTGTTTGACATGCAATTTAGTTTTTGCTGGCCTTTATAATCTATTGTCGCTAGAACATTTAAATTTGAAATAGATGTAGCAGACTATGTCGTTTTTAATATTTCAAGTTCACTGGTATATATATATCGATTTAACATATAAATTAAAATAACAATTTTAATTGTTAAAAATCATGTATATCTTAAAGTAGAATGTGAAGCGACAATAGGTGTTTTCCTCTTTTCACGAAGAAATTCTTCATAAGTATCAAAAATAGGTCAACTAACAAAGGAGCAAAATAAGTGTCCGTCAGAAGTCCAACAGTTAATGAAAACTTTGTCTTCAAATCAAATATATATCTTGTTAATAAGGAACTTCAGCATCCTTTTAATATCAGTTAAGGACAATTGAGGACAGTGCGGTTTTTAAAGGGAATATTTTGCTGATGGCCATTCAAAAGATATGAAATTTTTTATTCTGTTTTTGTTGAAGAAACATTTGTCTTCAATATCAAAAAGTCTTTTTATCGTGTGGACTTTATGTGTAAAGTGTAGAAAAGTGGTAAATTTTGATGCTAACGATTTGAAAATTTAATGATGTTTAATAAAGTTAATTTCTCAAAGTTTTTCTGAGTTTTTTTTTAAATGGATACATCTGATTTTCACAACTTGTAGACTATTCTATAGCGCAATGTGTTTGAAATTTAAAGCAGTTGATATTTTTGTAAGGAGTTAAGATAATTTTAATGTAGAGCACTTGCTAGACAGCAATTAATAAGGATTTTTATGAAGTTATGGTTCCGTTCCAGTACAAGTAGGGTAGATCAGACTTACCTTAACTGACTAGTACAATATAAAAGTATTAAACTACGATGTCATTTTGATGAATTTCCTGATTGGAAAATATATAAAGTTACAAATTAAAGCATTTATTGTAGATTTTTGGGACAATTCCTTGGCAGTCCTATTTTCAGAAAGTGCTGTCAGTCAGAAGCGGTAGACACGCCCACATTCTCTCTATAGCCGGGGCCTTTAGTGCCATTATCTTAGCTGTTCCTTCTGTTCTTATAGGGGCTGTGGCAACCAGTGCGGGTAAATATCTCATTTACTGTCCCTATAAATGTAAAAAAGTTATTTAAAAAACAACATTTCTGTGTGGTGCCTATAAAAAGAAGCACATTAACTCATTATCATATTGTATATTTTAAATGATATTACCACTAAATATTATTGATGTAAGAAACATAGAATGTCAATTTAAAAGATCCAGTTCGTATGTTGTAAGTTTTGTATTGATATTAAGTCACTAAATTAAAATTTAACCCAATTTTTGAAAATGTTGAGAAGTTCCACGAGATAATACTGAAATGAGATTTAGTCACTGCAGTATATATACGTACAGTGTGTGAGTGTTTTGATGTTGTTCCTTTATGGTATTATGCTGTTTGTAGACTGGACCAATACGACGTTAAAATTTTCTCCCATGGCTCTGAATCAGTCCAGCATGACTCTACCGTATGTTCTGCATGAGTTCACCCCTAGCTGGGTGGCTGTCTTGGGTATGTTTTTGCGCTGAGAAAGTGACTCTTAGCTCATCAGAGAAGAATCTTCTTGTAATCATAATCAAGTTCATTCAATGTAAATAGAAAGAAAATAAAGAAAATTATTATTAATTTTACCCTAAAGGATATAATGGAGACATATTTTAAAATTCTGCAAATTATGTAAGGAAAACATTTTCTTATAATATTATCGTATAACTGGAGGGTCATTTCACCTTGAAAACAGCAAATAATTCATGATTCTTTGTTTACTCATATCAGTATCAGCTTGAACTATTATATTGATCCCCAATCTCCAGAAAAAATTTATTATAGAATGCAAATAATTTTAAAAAGTATTGCAGTGCAAAATACTAAGTAGACAGAAATGGCATTTTGACTTCATACAATTTATTAAGAAATAATTTTCATTTATCCAGGTGAAAGTAAAGAAAAATATAATTATATTAATAATATTTATATATTAATTTTACATGACTTATTCAGCATTGGGTGCTGTCTCCGCGGCAGTGATGTCGTCAATGGATAGCTCTATCCTTGGCTCCAGTTCCATGTTTACCAACAACATCTACAAGAAGATTCTCAGAAAAAAGGTCTTAACAGTAGAAAAAATAATTTACCTACATTCAGTTTTAGATATCAGATGTCTTATAGATAAACAGATAGTTTACAGCACCATTTGTTTTGTAGGCTGGTGACACAGAATCGGTATGGGTACAAACCATCTCTATATTCTGTGTGGGGGTAATGGCTACTCTCGTCTCCCTTTTTGTACCCATTGTGTACGGATTATTCGTTTTGGCGGCAGACATTGTTTTTGTAATTGTATTACCCCAGCTTTTCTGTGCTGTATTCATAAAGTGGACCAATGTTTATGGAGCCATTCCAGGTTTCCTCGTAGGAACAATTCTTAGAATAGGGGCAGGGGAAGTCCTATTAGACTGGAGCCCATTTATTGAGTATCCATTCTACAATGTCGAAACAGGACAAATATTTCCCTTCAGAACTTTTGCAATGATTATATCAATAATCATTATTGTGACAATTTCGTTGTTTGTTAATCTCCTTCGAAAACACTCCTGTAAAAAGTCACATCAAGTGTACATTCTGTCTCTTGATACGAAAGGAGACAAACAGAGTGAAATCATAGATCGTTCATCTTCCAGTGACCAGCTGATGTCTTCTCCAAAAGCAAAATAATTGTAAAACATATCTATTCAGGCGAGAAAAGGATGGCTTAAAATTAAAATTACGTTAAAATTGCTATTATCTTTCATATTATAATTCTACAGGTATCTTTACCAGTTTTCCATACATGCGTAGACCTTTTTTACATTTTATTTTCTCTTCAAAGCCAAATGTACTGCATGGAAAAATATTGAACAAACTTGCTATAAAGTATCATTGGCAGAATAAAGTATATATAAAAAAAATATTCCATTTACTCGAGAAAAAAATATAAAAGTTGAAAAGAATTTTGTCATTGGGGAAATATGCTGAAGAAAAAAAAAGATTTTATTCACATTTGCATAGCAGGAATTACTCTTAAAATTTGCTTCAACTTATTTGCTATGAAGTACATTCAGCCCATACATTAAATCAGAAATGATAAATTAAACGTAGTTGATGATTGCTTTTTTTTGGCATGACCAATGGGACTAGTTTTCGAACACTACAGGTTAATTCCTAAAGTTGTACAAAGAGCTAAAATGTTCCCTTAAAAAAGTAATGAATAATAATTTGTTAGACTTGCATGTCAACTCTAAAGAATATTCACTAGTGTCTCCTCTAGCACACATCCAGTTATATGTGAGTCCCATGAACTACATATTGATATATTGTGTGAGGATTGTGATAAATTATTTGTGCTAAGTGTGCCAAAAACAAATCATAGAGATCATGACTGGAAAATTACATAATGAAAGCCACTCAAATGAGGAGAGGTTTTCCTAAATTCCTGAAAAACATCAAGGAAGAGGATCTGCCTGGAATTGTTAGGGAGATAGAGAAGATTTCAAAACAGATCAGAGAAAATGAAGAACTTTAACATTTTGAGATTAAAAGTTACAGAATCATTATGGTGACGTTTTATACGAGCCATGTGAAATCCAAGTTAGAGAAGAAAAAAGAGGAATTGTTGAAACAGTAGAATTTATGTTGGAAAACAACGGCACCATGTCAGAATACAGCTTGATTGACAACCACAGAGAACTGAGGAAATTTTATTTGAACTGGATGTTCATACGACAAACTGTGAACATTCAGTGAGGTTCATTAGAGGTGAATCAATTATGACTTATTTAAGTCTTTGATTTGGGGAACTTTACATCTAGATGATGTTGGTTTGACTCAAATGAATTCTTTACAATATGGAAATAATGTAAACGTGATGGAGACATTCAGTGAAGTCAAATGTAACATGATGGATCATATATCAGAATATACAGAAAAAGTCAACAACGTAGGTGCAGAACAAAGTAAATTCATAATCTCTTCAAATGATCTATGTGTGACTCATACGAATGATGCTTATTTTACTGACTAGAGTTACAAATCCATGAGCTGTCTGTCACCACCAGTCTTTATTTCTGTTCAATTATTTCTAGCCAAGATACTAGTGGTTGTTATTTTGCACATACAATCTTCTGATATTGTTTATTAATTCACATACACGAATTGAAAAAGAGCAAAAGAGTTGGCAAAAATATTTAAAAAGTGCAAAAATTACACTGCAGACAGTAGCTTATTATTGACCTGATGACCTACATTAGATCGCCATTATCTCTAACGAATCTACTTATGTGTCAACTTTAAGCAGGGAACCATTAAGCCGTACATCCTCTCGCAAAGAACGACATCGATTTCGTCGCCTCCATTTTTCACAGAGCAAACTAACAAACACAAAAATTCTCTCACACACCCTCTCAAACACATACACAAACACACACGAGCGTGCACGTGTTACTATATCCTCCAACTCCATTGCAAGGGGATAAAAATTAAATGACCACTCATCATAGATATTTTAAATTTATAGGTTTGAAAATATGTCTACTTTTTGGATATGAAGTGAAGATATTAGAATTAATTTTAAAGAACGGGAGATCTTTTTGAGAGTTTAACTTTCATGTTTTGATATGCAAGACTTTAACATCGTAGCTATAAGAAACATGAAATATTGTAATCAAAATAGGAATATGGTTACTCGAGTTCCCGGAAACATTTCTTAAATATTCAAGTAGGCCAATATCAGAAACCGAGATTCTGTATAGTGCTGAAAGTTTATTCGCTTTATGTATATATTTATCATATAAAAGATACCACAGAGTCCGACACTTCTGTTTCATACTTGGATATTTTACTTGAAAAAGACACTAATGCTAATCTAACAACCAAGCTATATGATAAACATGATGACTTTAACTTTTATATCGTAAACTTCCCTTACTTATGCAGCAATATACCTTCATCACCTGCATACGAAGTATATATATCTCAGTTGATTCGATACGCAAGAGCATGATCCACGTATGAACAATTTTTAAAACGAGGTAAATTATTGACAAGCAAATTGATGAAACAAGAATATCCGCAGTCTCGTTTAAAGTCATCATTTCGTAAATTCTGTGGTCGATACAATGACCTTGTTAACAAATACAATTTATCATTGAGTCAAATAATGACTGACGTTTTTCATACCAATTGTTAGTCCATTATTTATACACTGAATTGACGACGAATTTATTCCGTTATTTCCTGATCATGACAATGAGCACACGGCGGGTGTGACCGGTCAGCAGGGGATGCTCACTCCTCCATGGCACCTGATCCCACCTCTGATGTTTCGGGGTCCGTGTTTGCTCTACTCTAATTTTGTATTGTTTTATGGACTTTGAGATTGAAAATTGTTCGTTATCTCCATATCCTTTATAAATTAAAAAAAGCAATTGTGGACCTGTTTGATGTGACTTTTTGTGTATCTAAAAAAATCAACTGAAAAAAGCAATGAATGTAGCTCATCATGTACAACTGAAGAAAAAGTATCGCATGAGCGTTGGAATATTCACGGAGTTCACATTGAAATGCATAATTTTCATTTATATACAAGATAGCAAACATGAATTTTTTTTTAAACATTGAGTCTAAGAAAAATCAAAACTCTCATTCATATAGTTTATTGTTTGGAGGGTAGTTCAGAATTCTAAATACAATTTATTTAAAAACTTGATTATCTAGTTAAACTTATATACATACATATATATATATATATATATATATATATATATATATATATATATATATATATATATATATATATATATATATATATAATATATAATATATATATATATATATATATATATATATATATATATATATATATATATATATATATATATATATATATATATATATATATATATATATATTAAAGAGAAGAGAGTTCAAACTTAGGAGGCTTCAGTATATGAACCACCTATCTGGTTTAACGTTAATGGAAAGAAGAGTCAAAATATTACAGCTATCAAATAGTATCCCAATGTGGTATAAAAGAGAGTCATCAGAGTATGGACTGACCAAGACACCCATGAGAGGTAAAAAAAAAGAAAGTTTGAAATAATCCAAAGGATTATATCATAAAAGGGGTGTTTCAATACCAAAGGAGTTATGTTTCCAATTATGAGGTCCCTATACAGCGATTGGTACACCATTAATTTCCGTGCTTTTTATTTTGACTTTCACAAATATGTTAACTAATAATAACTAAAATGAATACAAAACAGATGTATAACGAATCTAAACTATTCAAATGAAAATTCTGTTTAAACGTGTAGGTTCAATTAATATTAACATGACTCAAGAAAGCATAAAAGAAATGAAAACCTATTTTAAGCAATTCAGATGTGCAGTTCATACACAGTAAATTAACCTGTAAACCTTCTAACTTTCCCATTTTACATGTTTGATGAAAACAATACATGAGAACCTTGTGGAACTATGTATCAAATTAATTTTTGATGATACATATTGCTTAATAAAACGTACGTAATTCTAGATTAATGATTTCAGATAAAAAGTATGCTATTATTTACACTCTGTATTTAAACACTTTGACAAGTCCTTCCCAATGTCCCACCCACAATGTAGACTTGTAAAGTGATAAAGTGTATGGACAGTTCACTTCATTGTCTGACAGTAAAAACTTAAGGAAATTCCCATCAGGACTCAGCAGATGGATCTGTTTGTTGTAAATATCCGTAACAAGGATGTTACAGAGGGAGTCACACTCTACATCAAATGGACTAAATTTATTTTTCAGGTTCTGTCCACGGTACACAGACGTTATACAACCGGAGGAAGTCATAACTACTAGATCACCTACATGTTCATTTGTACGGTTCACAACACATATACCACTGTTACTGTTCTGTGTTATTCTGTATGGCAATGTAAACAGCCTGGTGTGACCGTCCTCCTGGTACTCATACTCATGGATGACGTCACCAGTCACTGTGATGTGTCTCACCAGACGTCTGCTGTGTGACTCTAGTTTGTAAAGATCTAATTCCCTTTCTCTCAGGGAGACCAGTAGTCCACCGTCCACTGACTGACAGATTCCAATTGGTACGAATGGAAGTGTACTGATAACTGTAGAGGCAGATCCTGATGACGACAGACAGCTGATGCACTTCTTATTAAAATCAGCAAAATAAACATTACTGTTTTTAGTGACACATATGTCATTACCAGCGATTCGAAGTATTTGTTTTTTTGCACCCTCATTGTTAACTTTTTCTATATATTCTGATGTCCCTTCTCTTATGTAACATTGATCTTCACTAATTGTCTCCAAAACAAATATGAATTTTTCTCCGTATTGAAATGAGTGTTTTTGAGTCATTTCAATATCATCTAAATCCCAAGTCCTTCCAACCAAGGCCTCAAGTAGTTGATCTTTGATTTCACCTCTAGTGAATCTCACTGAATATTCACAATTTGTGGTATGGCCCTTTAAATCAAAGTCAACCATTTTTGTCAGTTCACTGTGGTTGTCAATTAAGCTGTAATCTGACATAATGCTGTTGTTCTCCTCCATGAATTCCACCGTTTTAACAATACCTCTCTTTTTCTTCTCTAATTCAGATTTCACATGGTGCAGTTGATCATTTTCCATTTCCAAATTGTCTCTCAATGTTTTCTCATGCCCTTTAGGATTTCTTTAAGCCTGGATATTATCTCATCGACATGCTTCTGCAGCTTTTCAATCTCAGAGTCACACAGTTCTTTATTTGCTGTGATCTGTTTTGACAGCTTTTCTATCTTCTCGTCAATCCAAGACAGATCTTCTTTCGTGATCTTCTTCAAAAAATTAAGCAAACCTTTCCTCCTTTCGGTGGCTGCCGTGGGTAGAGTGTTCCAGTCATGATCTCTGTGATTTGTTTTGGCACATTTACCACAAATAAATTCATCACAGTCCTCACATAACATATCAATTCGTAAGTCATGAGATTTACACATTTCAATGTGTTCCTTGGGAGAGAACATTGAATATTCTTTTGCACTTGCAGCCATGTTTGTCGGTTGTTGCTTACCTGAAGCCCCCTAGATTTTAATGCGCATGTTAAATAACCAAAGGATGTGTATAATGATTTGAAAAGACTTTAGATTTATTCAATATGACTCCCGCTAATGTAATGTAATATGAGGTGATAAATCTTTCTAATAGAATATATATAAAGGGAGAATTGTGTTTCCGTTCACATTTTTTTAAATGGTCACTAATAAGGTTTTGAAATAGTGTAAAAGGTGCCGTTAGAAAGAGACAGAATAATTGACAATGAGAACGACGGTAGTGTTTGATATTTGGCATTACAACTTAGTGGTTGCAACTTATGTTTGTTATTGAAATTCACTCTCACCCACTATTAAAATAATTATTTCAATAGTGGTCGTATTTCAATAGTGGTAATTACCTACGTTTGTTATTGAATTGCACTCTCAACCATTATTGATATAATTATTTCAGTAGTGGTTGTATTTCAATAGTGTTAATTACCTGCGTTTGTTACTGAAATGCACTCTCAACCACTATTGATATAATTATTTCTATAGTGGTTGTATTTCAATAGCGGTTACTAACTATGTTTGCTATTGAAATGCACTCTCAACCACTATTGATATAATTACTTCAATAGTGGTCGTTATTTCAAGAGTGGTTGCAACAGTCAAATGGTAAATTGTTGAGCCAACGTTGTTATTACATAGAAACATTTGCAATTGATTAATTGATTCTTTAAACCCATTTCATTACTGTTTAAAAAAATAATACACAATTCAACCTGCATTTATAATGCATACATAGACATGTTCAATGAAAACATTACTAATGGTTCACTGTGAAAATATTTTATATACATCAATCATAATTTCATATTAAATGTTAAAATAGACAATTGAGGTAAAGTATGAAAAATTATCAATTCAAAGTTCTAAAGCAGGGCTCACTTCTTTTATCACTGTCCTTTTGTTGTATTCCCGCTCCTTTCTTCGTCCCTTCGTCGCCTCCCGTTTTCTTCATCTTGATCTTTGTCGTACTTACTCGTACTTCATACACTTCATCATGTTCATTATGCTCTTCGATTTCATTATTTACCGTCTCAACATTTGTTTTCCTTGCAGTCTCTGACTGAAAATACAAAATAATTTGATATTAGAAACAATACAATTACTGGTCCAACTAATAAATAAATAATATACCTCAAATGAAGTCTTTTAAAGAATGATGTATTATACTATTAGTGCATGTTGATCTATTAACCTTATTTTCCTTGTTACAATCGTGTTTGTAATAGACAGTTGAGAATAAGATAGAAACAAAGATGTTATTTAACTTGTTTTTCATTGTATTTTTGATGAGCTATAGAAGTTATTGTAAATAAAGTTTGAAATACATTTATTTGCAAACCGTATACACATAAATTATAAATATATTTGTATTTACATTAACTTACAGTGCTTGTGTGCAAAAACATGACAAGAATGAATTCCGAATCAATTTCAACAGTAAACCTGAATAAATAAGAATAAATATACTTAAATACATCGCTTTTAAATGCAGCTTCAGCAAGTGTATACTCCACAAATTTGAATTCATTACCACCTGTGAGCAATTGAATCTGACAGCTCACTCCACAGTCTGGTGTTTAAATCGCCGTGCGATTATAAGGTTTAGCGAACGCCAAACTTTTGTTTCAATTTAATTCCCAGATAGCATGACTATGTTGGGCCAACATTTGTTAAAGGCTGTATTGTTGGCGTTGGGGGAACAACGTTGGGCCAACGTTGGACCAATGTTACCAGGTCAACCTTCTCGACCATGACGGAATTCCTATGTTGGCCCAACGTTGGTCCAACGTAAGCAACTTACATTCACTTTAGTTTCCAAAGAAGGAAGGATCACGGCGTTGGCCCAACGTTGGACCAATGTTTGTAATACACCCTTAAAGAAAGTGCCTTATCAAGTTTGTAGTACTATGTTGACCCAACGTTGGCACAATGTTTGTAATACATCCTTAAAGAAAGTGCCTTATCAAGTTGGTAGTAGTATGTAGGCCCAACGTTGGCCAATTGTTTGTAATACACCCTTAAAGAACGTGTCCTATCAAGTTGGTAGTAGTATGTTGGCCCAACGTTGGCCCATTGTTTGTAATACACCCTTAAAGAACGTGTCCTATCAAGTTGGCAGTAGTATGTTGGCCCATTGTTTGTATTACACCCTTAAAGAAAGTGCCTTATCAAGTTGGTAGTAGTATATTGGCCCAACGTTGGCCCATTGTTTGTAATACACCCTTAATGAAAATATTTAATCAAGTTGGTAGTAGTATGTTGGCCCAACGTTGGCACAATGTTTGTAATACACACAAGTGTTATTTTGTTTAGGTCTTTCAAAGATGGGATATTTATATTGGGCCAACGTTGACCCAATTATTATACTTCCAACTAATTGATGGTGTTAATTTTATAATTAGCTGCTGAGCTTTACGTTGGGACAAGGTTGGCACATTCTGAAATAATTAAAAGGACTTTCTATGCCCATGCTTATCATTGGATGACTGCTTTTGTTTTGATATGATATTTTCATTATTTTAACTTTGCACTTAAGTGATCAGGCACCAAAGAGTGTTTTATTCTATTTTTTAAATTGTGTATATGCATATTTATTTGTAATAACCCAGATAGCGGAACACCGTTGGCCCAATCTTACATTATGGTTCTATTATCTATGTTGGGTTACCTTGATTGGGCCAACAATGGCCCAACATGGAATATTGATAGCTGGTTATGTATAATAGTGCGCTAATGTTGGGCTAACTGTTGGCATTATATCATAAAACTATAATCATGAGAGAAAATATTTGTTTGGGGATTGGCATCGGCCCTACGTTGGCCCAATATACCATGAATCTGACTGAGGATCATGGGTAGACAACAACCGGGCTACTTGTAATATCCGCGCCATTTTTAATCTGACACGAGCGAGCGAAATGAGACTGATACCTTGCATATCTGCATCCACTTTGTAAGTATTAATAATATGTTTGCCTCGGCACAGTTGAATTAACGTTTAGTTTTTAAACTATATCATGTACAAATCTGTGTAAATCAGACACGGGGAAGTGCAGAGGCCAATGTTGGAAAATGGCATTGACCCAATTTAAGTTTGCTCATAGGACCAATGTTGGCCCGATATGTTGGGCCAACGTTGGCCCAATATAGAGTGTTATTTCTACAGATATTGGCCCAACGTTGCGCCAACATTGGCCCAATGAATGCGACATTGTTGGCAAAACGTCAACAAGAACATTGGGCCGATGTTGGCAAATGACGTTAGCCCAGTGTCATTTTGCTCCTTTGCCCCATGTTAGCCCGATATATTGGACCAACATTGGGCCAATGTGTATAAACATTTAATTGTTACAAATCTGTATATTAACAAATCTGATCGTCTCTAAAATCAGAAATAAATCTACAACCAATCCTTTTTGAAAAATCAAGCTAGCTAAAATAAATTTAAAATACTTATAATTTACCCAAACAAAATAAATTATCAGTGATTAAAATTTTTGTTTCTATACAAGAAAAATAAATGAAAGTTTAAAAACGTGTTTTGATACAGTTAAAACAATAAATAATTTGCTCCTTATTTAAATTGAAATTTGTGTCTATAGTAGAATACATTTCCGAAGTCTAACTTAATTAACTTATATACACTTAACGTCGAGTACATGATCAAACATTTTGAAAATGATGAACTTGCTGAAGTTAAAACAAAATTTATTCAGTACTAAAAATAGATTGGGTTCTTTCATTTAAAATTTGTTCATTGTACCGACAAATTTTCAATACATGTATTTTATATGGGGCAGCATTGAATCAAAATTGTTGTGATGATGATTATCAAGCGTATAAATATCATGCATAAATGCCTTCATCACGCAAGCTAATCACTTAATCACACCATGAAACAAAAAAGACGGTTGTTCCTTAATTGACAGCTTAAACATATAGTGATATACTTGTAAATTTAATCGTATGTTTACTCTTTACTGAGAAAAGTAACAAAGGTATTAAGTACCAAATATTACAATTTTAGTGTTACTGGAGATTCTAAAAAGACATGAAGAACACAATCAAAGAATGGCTAAGGTATGCCAAAGACAGGGATGGGGGAGGAAGAAACGGACAGAGAAGAAAAGAAGGGGGAGGAGGAGACTCGGGAAGAGGAAATGGAGACTTAGGAGAGGGATCAGATGGAAAGTGTCAGTGCCTAACTTTTGTTCTGTAATATAGTGTGACATACCTGTAGTTCTACCCTTTTTGTGTCTGTTTGTCGGTTATAAACACGATGCAGATGCCAGAAACATTTTTTGTGTAAGTAAACAAAATGACGGGATTCATTTTAGTATTATTACAGGAGGGCTTTGTTTATTTGTTAGACGTGCTTATTGATACCTGTAATTTACTGAACTTGTGCATAATTTACATCAGAGAGGGAGTATACAGTCATGTAACCCTACATGTATCGCTTGAAGTGAGCATCGACTTTTAATTCTTTATTAATGTTTTCTTCATGCACTGAGCAATAAAATTATAGTATGTTATAACTTAATTTTA